TGCTAAAATCAGTTGACTGTACTATAATAAAGGGATGGGTTATAAAGCCCTCGCTGTGGATGGATGATCTAATTATGTCATCGTGTGGGGGACCTCAGTCATCTTCACGCGCACTGGCTGTTATGATTCCCATTATACAGCTTAGGAAAGCAAGGCTTAAAGCAGTAAACATCACTTCCTCCAGTCCCCACCTTTCACCTCAGGTGGAGGGAAAACAGCCGTGCAGGGCTCTGAGACCGGGGTAAAGAGCTGCCTCATCTTCTTCTTATTTGTCTACTGTTGCCTAATGGAGGTCAGACCCTGCCCACTTCCTGCCTTCCCCCCTAAAACCAGGTTGCTTCTGCTCCCAACCACACCTGGGCTTGGCGCGGTGGGGGACCGGGCCGCAGGAGGGCCCACAGATCAGTTCCAGTGTGGTTACCCTGGGCTGCTCAGAAAAGATGCCCATGGGGCACTAAGAAATCAAAAGATCTCCAAATCCATGTCAGTCAAACCGAGGCCCAGGGACACCCTTCTCCCAACCCACCAGATCCCAGTACGGATCTAAGATCTAAGTGAATAGGACAGGCTTTGGCCCAACTCGGGATCAAATCCAGTATCAAACCAGACCCAGTCCCTGCCCTGTGCCTTACCAGCTGTGTGACCTGTGGCAACTGAACTCACCTCTCTGAGCAACAGGTTCCAGGCGGGAACACAAAGACTATGGTAGCACCTACAGCTGATGGGGTTGTTGTGGGTGGAAGTGAGCTTCTTCAGTCTGTGTGTTGAAGCACACAATAAGTGTCTCCAGGGCAAACCCTAGGCGGCGTGCACAGCTTCGGCCTCCTCTGATCTGTAAATCATGTGTTTCAAGCGTAGACAATGCACCAGGCACTGGTCTAAGAGCTAAACATGAATTATTAGCTCATTCAGGCCCCACAACCTAAAAAGCAGCTGTTTCTTCCCTCTGAGCCTTGTTTTTCTCTTCTGTAAAAAAGGGGTACAGAGTTCTCAGGTGATTCCCAGCCCCTGTGGAGGCCCCGATCCTCCTGGCAGAGTCTCCCAGGAGGCACCAAGCCCGGCAGCCCAGCCCCTTCCCCATCTGGGTTTCGCTAACCCTTGGCTGTTCGCCAAGCCTGGTAAGGGAGGCATCTGCCATTTAGGGTGTGGCCAGCCCTGGCAACCCTCAGAGGAAGCCATTCTGGGGCCTAAGGCCAGGGAGCCACCTCCTGAGCCCCCTATCCCAGGGACATTGAGAGGTCTGACCCATGGAACTAAAAGTCAAAGATGGGAGAGGGGAGAGAACAAGAGGGTCCAAGAGGCAGGAAAAGAGAACTCCAGACTAGAGCCCTAGTCCTCGCGTGCACGTGTGTGTGTGTGTGTGTGCGTGTGTGTGTGCGCAAGCGTGTGTGTGTGTGTGTGTGTGCGCGTGCATGTGTGTGCACGCGTGCGCGCGCACACGCAGGGGGAACTGCTTCAGCCAGGAGCCCCCCTATTCTTTTTGCCTCTAAAGCACCCCAAATACAAATTAATAAGAGTATTCTAATTATTATTTTCTCTTTTGCTAGCAATAGCATCCTAATTCTAATGTTTTAATATTTTGTTATCAACTAGTGCCATTTCCTCAATCTTATTAAAAAAACTGTGAAGAGCACAGCTTTGGCAATGTTATTTTATGGACCCATAACCTATGCGGCTTCAAGAAAAATCCTGCACCCCCTCGTAGGAATTGCCCAGGCCTAACCCCAGTTCTGCTTCTGAGCAAATCCCTTCACCCCTCTGGGGTCTCAGTGTCCTATCCATGAAAACAGGGTAGGGGGGTTTTTAGGAAAACCGCTCCTGATTTCTCCAATTTTTTTGAAGTCAGAACGCTCCCAAGTCAGCAGCTGCTGGCAAACCTTCTGGAAAGGCCAGGATGAAAGCGGAGGAGACCAGGATCCAAAAGAGACGGCAGAATAGGGCCACAGACTCCAGGCAGACCTCGGTCCGGAGACCCGGAACTTTGGTTTGCTCTCCCCAGGGACTGCAGCTCGGGGCCTGCCCTTAGCTGTCGGCAGCACTGCTGGTCCCTTGGGCACCCCCAGCCACTCCCTGTGGTTTTGCAAGCCAGCACTTACCGTGCTCAGTAGAGCATGGGACAGCTGCCCCGTGGGCTCAGGAGAAGTGGCTTCTGTGTTTTAGCGACAAGGACCCAGCCCACGCTACCGGACACTGCTCTGGCATCCGCAGCGGTGGCCCCTGGCCCTGACAACCCCCAACGGTTGGGTATGAAAGAAGGAAGTGGTTACTCAGACAGGGCCACGTGATGGAACAAAAATAATTTTATGGTTGGGGGGTCACCACANACATGCGGCTCTTTGGGTACGTTCCGTCTCAAAAGTTTGCCAACCCCTGGAAGAGCCAATCTTGTCCCTCACAACAATTTAAAAATTATTTGAGAGCCATAAATATACTTTTACATAATCTCCATTATGTGAATAATGTCCTTTAAATATTTTATAAATGAAACTATGATAGTTTTGTTTTATTTTCATTTTCAATTTTACTTCAGAGGCAGTTTGCTGACCCCTACCAGCTCTTCCATCTCAAAAGTGTGCCGGCCCGTCATAAACTATGGCGAAGATGAAATAAGGTGATGCCTGCAAAATCCTTAGCACTTTGTTCCCATCATGAGCTCCAGCAAAGGGTGGCTACTTTGGTTCTTTCAGTAAACCTATCCCGTAAGCCTTCCAGGGCCCAGAGCCATCTACTACTCTACCTGGGGCCAGGAGAAAATTCAAATCTTTATAGAACATCCCTGCTCTCAGAGAGCTGACAGTCATTTCATTTGCCTGTGGATAGGGTCATTGTCCATTCTGGTATCACCTTCAGCCTCCATACCAGGTAACCAGAAAGGGCAGTACCTCTCCTTTGAGCCATCTCCCTGGTCTTTCTTCTTGGCACTGTGAACACTCATGCTTTCCTGTTTTTTGGGGGTTTTTTTGTTTTGTTTTTTTCTCTCTCTCCTTACCCTCCTCCCACCACTGGCTGGTGTTTGTGGGTTGAAAATCTTGCACTAGAGAATGCTGCGATGAGTGACAGCTGTGTTTTAGGGTACAATTCAGGTATTCCTGGGTCCCTGAATGCAACACCCTCCAGCAGTGTGCAAACCTCACCACGGTGCTGGGGCAGAGTGAACCTGGATAAGTTCCAGTGCCCTCCCTTGCAGTTCATGTGATTCGCAGCAGAGAACAGCTGCTCATCACTCCTTGAGTGACTGTCACTTACTCATAGGCCCCTCAGCTTCCAGCCTCAATCCGACCTCCTTCACATGTTAGTGAGAATTATGTTGGTTTCTGAAACACCAGTCTAAGCATATCTTAAAATAATTTCTTAAACCAAACTTCATGATATTTGCACCAGACACATTTGTCCCTCACAATTATCCTCCTTCTACTGAGCACGGATGAGACTCAGAGAGGTGAAGGAATTTGCTCAAAGACACACAGCTGATGAGTGGCCAAGACCAGATTTGAACCCAGTGAGGATTCAGGAAGGCTTTGCGAAGAGACCTGACCTAGCTGTGGTGGTAGACAGAGCAAAGGCTTGGAAGAGAGCTTAGCTTGCTGTGTTTGTAGCTGGGGTTGGGGACCCAGTTGGGAGACGAAGGGCAGACTAAGAATAAGAACTTTGAGGCCACATTACCTAGAAAGGTCAACCCCATATATACCAGGTGCCATGCGGGGCACAGGACTGAGAGCAGCGGTTCTCAACCTGTGGGTCATGACCCCTTTGAGGGTCAAACGACCCTTTCACAGGGGTCGCCTAAGACCATCGGAAAACAAAAAGATATTTACATTACGATTCATAACAGTAGCAAACTTACAGTTATAGAGTAGCAACAAAAATAATTTTATGGTTGGGGGGTCACCACAACATGAGGAACTGTATTAAGGGGTCGCGGCATTAGGAAGGTTGAGAACCGCTGATTGAGAGTATAGGCTATGGGGTCAGACAAAAGGATGTTTGAGTCCTAGCTCTGCCCCTTACAAGACACATGAACCTTGACACAGATCTTTGTCTTTCTGAGCCTCAGTTTTATCATCTGTAAAATGGGGATAACAAACAGTACCTATCTCATAGGGCTGTTGAGAGAATGCAATGAGATGATGGATTCAAAACTTCCAGGGTTACAGTAGGTGCATAATAAATGTGTCACACACACACACACACACACACACACACACACACACACACTGTCTCCTAACCTGCACCCAAGAGGCAGAGTTTCTTTGTACATGGGGTGGAGTTCCTACTTGGGGAAAGAGCATATGGCCTACTCTTGGCTTTCCTGGGTGCAGACAAATTTAGGAAGAAGCCACCAGCTCAGAGACATATCTCATAATTATGAAAAGACTCGCACCCTCTCCCCACCCCCAGCCCCAACTTGAGCAGTTTTCAGTTCCTGGAAGGCCAGCCCTCAGCCACTTCCTGGAAGCAGAGAGGGAGGGGCAGAAACGCAAGGTCCAACCCACCAGTCTCCTGGTGGGGGGGGTGGGGGGGTACCTGGCAAGCCAGAGCCTGACTTTCTGTGTAGCCTGGAGGCTGAGAAGATACCGTGCATGGCCCCTCCCTCCACCCATTCCCAGTTCCCTGCATACAGAGACAGCCTCGAGTGGAGAAGAGACCACTTAGCAGCTGTCTGACCTTGAGCAGGTCACTTCAGCCTCTCTGAGTCTCAGTTTCCTCATCTGTAAAATGGGTGATATGCTTCAAAGATTATGGTTGTGAGACTCGAATGAGATGCTGCAGGGAGGGTCCCCAATGCTGGCATCCAGCAGAGGGTATTTTATGGGGGGAGGGGCTCCCTTTGGGGCTGTGGACAGAGGAGCAGAGGAAAGGGAGACCTCAGACTCGGGGAGAATACAAAGATGGTGACCTCCCTGGCTCCCCCGTGGGCAGTTAGGGAAGCTTCAGGGAGCTATATGAGAGCAGAGACCTCCCCACCTGTTGAAATAAAAGACAAGCGAACTAGNCCAGAGAGGGCAGGGTGGGGGTTGCTCTGTTGCCAGAAGGAAGCTCATTGGCACCCAGTCTCAAAGAAGGGTGTCACGTTGGGCTCTCCAAGCCTGCCTCAGCCCTCCCAGGCTGAGACCTCACCCTGGGCTCCTTAGAAAGGTATCCAAGAAAACTCAAGCTGCTTCCATGGGGATAACAACAGGCAATGTCCTCAAGGACGTGTGCATCCCCAAAATGCATGGTACATGACAAAGTGCATGTAACAGAAGACAGTGGTGGTGGGGTGGGGGCAGGGAACTCTGATTCTTCCCTGGATGCGTGGGTATGAGACTCCAGCAGCCAGGAGGGAGGGGGGACCTTGGCTGCTCTCCGTCCCGTTGGAGCACTTGGGGGCCCTGCCTTAAAGTTCCCCATCCCCAGGGGGCTCTGACAAAGCCCGGATTTGTGGAGTAGAGCCCTGAGGCTCAGCGGTAGCCCAGCGGGCTGCAGCGAGGAGGCAGGGGGTCTTGCTCAAGGGGTTAGGCGGGGAGGAAGCTAAGGGAGGAAGCTATGCAGGGTGAGGTCATCCCCCTCACGGTCCTCGCCGGGCTCCTCCTTTAGGAGATGGCTCTTGGCGGGTAGGCTCCCGTTGGCTGTGGCTGTGGGCCCCTCGCCCCGCTCAGGCAGTAGGGATGAGATGCAGACCATCTCGGTGGGCGAGTAATTGCGTATGGGGTACATGTGGCTCTTGCGGGAGAGGCGGACAGCCAGCACCACGGTGCACACAAGGAAGACGGTGGCCACAAGTGCCAGGATGAGGATGGCCAGCAAGCACTGCTTCACGGAGATGTAATCCGGGCCCCCTGTGGGGCTGGGGGCCACAGAGGTCTGGGAGGAAAGACCTGGACTCTTTCTCTCATGGTTGATGAAACTATCCGTTGAATTGCTGGCTGATACAGTGGTGCCCCTGTGAGGATGAGAGAACATGAGAAGGGCTGTGGTTAGGCCCCTTGTGGTAGCAGGTTCTGTGGATGGAGCCTTCGTGGCTGCTGGTCCTGTGGACAGGGCCTCCGTGGCTGCGGGTTCCGTGGACAAGGCCTCCATGATGGTGGATTTCACAGTCAGTGCCTCCGTGGCTGCGGGTTGCGTGGTCCGTGCTTCCGTGGCTGCGGGTTGCGTGGTCAGTACCTCTGTGGCTGCTGGTCCTGTGGACAGGGCCATGACAGTGGATTCCACAGTCAGTGCCTCCGTGGCTGCGGGTTCTGTGGTCAGTGCCTCCGTGGCTGCGGGTTGCGTGGTTAGTGCCTCCGTGGCTGCGGGTTGCGTGGTCAGTGCCTCCGTGGCTGTGGGTTGCATGGTCCGTGCCTCCGTGGCTGCAGGCTGCGTGGTCAGTACCTCTGTGGCTGCTGGTCCTGTGGACAGGGCCTCCATGACAGTGGATTTCATGGGCAGGGCCTCCGTGGCTGCTGGCACCATGGCTAGGGCCTTCGTGGTGGCCAGCGCTGTGGATAGAGACTCCATGGTGGGAGGGATTGTAGTTACCAGTTCTTTGGTCAGAGGACCCAGTGTGACAGGAATCCCCTGGGTGGCCAATTCTGTGCTCAGATTCCCAATGGCTGTCCTTCCTGCATCCAAGTCAGCAGAGTTCCCAGTGGCCACCTCCAGAGTGGCTAGCCCTGGAGTACCAGTCCCTGCAGAATCTCTTTGCCCCAATTTTCCCATCATAGCCTGAAGCTTGGGGCTCAGGGTCACAGCCTCTGTGCTACTGTCAAGCATTTCTGGAGCGTCTGTATGATAATCATACTCATCGTTGAAGTTATCTGTGGACACCTGCCTCCGGCCCCGGGCAAGCAGGGGGCCTGGGGACTCCTTGGCTCCATCCTCCCGGCTCTCCCACAGCTGGAGGCTGCTGCCAGGGCCCAGCAGGGTCAGCAGCAGGAGGAATTGCAGAGGCATGGCACCTGGAGGAAGACACAGACAGAGGGACATCAGGACAGCCTCACCACTGGGCCTGCCGAGTACCCTCGACTGTGACCCGAGATGGCCACAGC